GTCTATGCAACTTTCTTGAAGTATTATCGGGTTGTTCTAGCTTTAATGGTGAGGAAGAAGATGCTGGGAAAATACGATCAAACTAGAAGCCACATTTCTAGTCCTATTTTCTTGGGTCCGCATGTTTCTTGTCCACACATTTTGTATGGACATGGGAATGAAACTTCCACTTCTAGCGTGAGTGTGTATGGTCATGATTAGAGCTTCATGGCTATAAATAGTGCATCCTTCACTACTGAACAGTGCACTCAAAAGGAAGTTTCCTTCTTTCCTTTCTTCACTTCATACATACCCTCTAGTCTGAGCATATATAGTCAGGTTCGCCTACGTTGTGACACCCCGTAAATCCAAATTTTAGTTAAGGATTAATTAGATAATTAATCCTAGCTTAATTGATAATCTATTCCTAAAATCCTGAAAATTCAATAGTCAGAGGACTAAAAATTGACAAGTCAATCCAAGTCAAGGAGTTGTACCCTATGCTTCATGAATTGTTCCCTTGTCTCCTTACACTGTTCCACTTTAGTAAGGGTAAAGAAGAATTTTCACCTTATGATTGTATCCCAAGCTAACCTAGAGTCATCTTTCATTCTTTTCCCTAACACCCCAAAAAGAAAAGCTCCTCCTTCTCTCTAGAAGTTAGCTAGCTTCTTCTTCAAGCCAAGTTTGGGCATTCCATGATTCTTCAAGTTGGTCTCCAAGATTCAACCTTTCTTAATCTTGAGCTTATAGGAAGGTAAGATCTTTGGTCCTTTAGTGTTTTTAATACCTTTTAAGGTGTCCTTTTCCAATGATGAAATCTTTGTTGTCTTTTGGTGTGTTTGTGAAGTTGAAGTTGAAGGAAAGCCTTAATAGAAGCTTGTAAGGGTGTGATAAGTGAAGTTGTAGGCTACAAGAGGTAACCCATGTTGTACAAAATCTATTTTCTTACCTATATGATGATTTCTTGGCTTCTACTTGTGATTTTTGTGATGAAATGTGAGATTTGATGCATTGTCTTGTGGTAATGCATGTTTATAGCTTGTTTTTAGGGTTCTTGTATGCCATTGCTTGGCTATTCCTTATATTCAAGTCATATTGTTGTATTTTGTGAGATTTTGGGTGTTTTGGAGTTGAATTTGGACTTGGTGTTGAAAATCCCTGAAGGGATTATTTGTGGTACAGAGGTGTACCCGCGGGCGAAACGGCGGGCAATGGCCTACCCACCACCCCACCCGCGGGGTACAAGAGGTTTGGGCTTTGGTTCCCGCGGGCGGAACCACGGGTGGGGGTCCACCCGTGGCCCCACCCGCGGGTACAATGTTGTGATGTTTTGGGGATTGCTTCCCAGTGATTCTTTTGACTCGGTAATTTATGTTTTGACTTCCCGATGTTCTTTTGTTGGGTTATTTGAGTGTCTTCTTGATGTTTCGTATGTCTAGAACGGTATGTTAGAATCCATGTAGGATTTGGTGTCTTGAATCATGCTAAGTGTTCAACCTTGTGATTCGTTGAACCATGGTGAGTCTTGTACGTTCTTCAGAACTATGTTTTGTTTACCCGTTTGATAAGCATGCTGGTTTGATGTTGAAATGCTAGCGTGTGTGGTTTTTTCTTTCCTATTGTGGATGATAACTTGTGTTGATCATCGTTGATGTCGGATTGTAATCCTTCCTTGATTGAGTATGGTTTCATATCTTCGTTGTGATCCGTTGATTAATTCCTATGATGATGTGTGTGTTGGTTGTACATGGATTGCACGATTAATGGTATGGGACATTAATCACCAAGGTACAGATGTGGTCCTCGTGGTGGCCGTGATGTGATTATGGAGTTGTAATTGGGCTTCACGCTCATGTGATTTGGGCTTCAGGCTCAGCTGGTCTTCAGGCTCATGTGATTGGTGGTTGTGTGATTGAAACGATCGGTACTCTCGTGTACTATGAAATCGGTGGTTGATGATTTGGTGGTTGTAGGTGGGGAACGACGGTTCCCGGAGGCATAAGGTTGGACTCAGAAGTACAGGGGTTCTCAGAGGTAATGGTTGGAACTGTAATAAGGTCGGGGGTAGGCATAAGGTTGGAACATGGCATAAGGTTGGAACTTGTGACATGAAGTGTCACTGTGGAATGTAGTGCCAATGTGTGGATGGCTATCCTTATCTGTTGAGCATGTCGAGTGGTATTCTACTTTGTGATCAGTAGAATAAACCTCTAGTTGTACTTGTTATTGTTGTTGTCTTTGCCTCGATGTTTTCTACTTTGTGATCAGTAGTTTACATCTTGAGCGGTGTTGAGTTGTTCTATTGTTGTTCTTGGGATGTGATTCATTTGTTCTTTTGAGAGTGAAATAGAGTCTTTGCAGTTGCCTTCTCTCTTTACGGTTTTAAACTGATATATATACTATATTCTGTTTCGAAAATGATTTTGTATTATACTATCTATACATATGCTACTGAACGCGTATTGATGGGTTACCAACAATATTCGCTGACCGGGCGTCGTCCCCTTTCTTTATGTGCTTTACAAGTCCTGAGTAGATGGCAAGAGCGTTAGACGTGGATAGTTTAGATCCCCTGAACAGTTTAGTTTGTGTTTAGGCCTGGGTGCCACTGATGTTGAATATATTAGATTGATGGTTTTAGTTTTTACCTGTGCATTCATGTTGGAGTCAACGTGGCATAACACTCCTTGGTTTTCTCTGTTTTATGATTAAACTTCCGCTGTGTTTACGTTTTTATGTTATGTTGGTTAGTTTGCCTTGCATATTTAAGCTTTAAATTGGCATGAAAACCGGGGGTGTTACAGTTGGTATCAGAGCCTAGGTTTGAGCCTAGGATGTTAGAGTCTGGTCTTTAAAGAAGTTAAGTGTGGTTTGAGACCCTAAGGTGACCTTAAGTATCTAAGTGTTTAGGACTTAGAACTTCTAGGACGCGCGGTGAGGTTGTGAGTTCTTTTATCGTTTTCTGTTGTGTTGTCTGTGCTTTATTTTCCTTTTAGCTTTGGTTCTCTTTAGTTAAGGCACCAGGTAAGGGTGCGGGCCCTAAGTCTTCCCCGTTATCATGCTGTTTCTGTAGAAGCCAAGGATGGCACCATCGAGATGTCGTGCAAGGTCTTTAGAAGCAGTCGCCAACGAACAACTAGCTCAAAGCCTTCTTCAACTGACACAGATCACCCAGATGCTGAGCAATGCCCTCCTCGACATCAACCACCCTCCTCAGAATGAGAATCGTGACATAGTACGCCAAGTCGCAAGTCTTCGTCCCCCGATCTTCGCCAGTGAAGAAGATCCCGCTGTGCTGGATTAGTGGATCCGGATGTTTGACAAGATCTTCAAAGCTGTGGTTTGCCTGGAGGATCGTCAGGTGGAGTTGGCTACGTTCTACCTTCGGAAAGAAGTGGACTCGTGGTGGATGCTTGAAAGGCCAGCTTGTAGACAAGATCCGAAGTTCAGTTGGGAAAACCTGAAGGTTAAGTTATGGGAGCAGTTCTATCCTGCTCATGTCAAGGAGGCCTACCTTTGTGCAGCCGACATCTACCGAGTACAGCAAGTTCAGAAAGGAATCTGGGAGAACCGTAAGAGGAAGCTTGATGGAAGTGTTACACCTGCGGTTAGGAGTTTGATGGCTTCTGGTGCTGAATCAACAAGAAGCCCTCGAAGAGATGACTCTAAGAGAGGTAAGGCTCCCCAGTCAATCTGGAACAACAAGGCTATGGGAAAGAGCTTCATCTGCAAGAAGTGTGGAAGTGATCACCCCGGCATGGACTGTCTAGGGAAACCGGTAGAGTGCTTTTCTTGTGGCAAAAAGGGTCACCGGTCCTTTGAGTGCAGGATTAAGAGAGTGACTTCAGTGGATTCGAACCCAGTTGGTAGTGTGAGACCTCGGTCGGGAAGTAAGCCCCGAAGTAGAAGCAACAATGGACTAAGTGGAAGTAGCATCCAGGACCTGTGTACGATGTCGGGACCTCGGCAAGGTAAGATCAACAGTCGTGAGGCAGATGCAAGTGGGAACCGTTGAAGTAAGTTCTTGTACCCTTTTTGTTGCACCTTCCTTTGTCTTTGTGCCCTTCCTTGCGTGTTAGCTTCGTGTGTTAGCTTGCTCGAGATTCACCCTTGACCCTCTTTAATATTTTCTTTCCCGTAGACAAACCCTATCACCATTTTTCTAAGTGATCCTTCTCTTCCGAACCTTGTTCTTTTTTTCTTTCCAATCACCTTGTGCAAGACGGCGGTGTCATCAGCTTATGAAGAAATCTGGTAAGGTCTAAGAGTTAAGCCGCGTCTGAGTCGTGGTAGAGAGCCTTCAGTTCGACAAGCTTAGTGATCAGCGTCAAGCCGGAGCTTCACGGAAGTCGAGAACCCTTTCATCTCTTGAAGCCGATCTTCCTCTCTTACCCTCGTCAAATCCCTTGCCCCATCTCGAGAAATCCAACCTATCTTTTCAAACCTCGTTCTTGTTTCCTTCTTGATTCGACTCTGTTCAAGGTTGCAACCTCATTTTTCCTAAGTTGTGACTCTGAAAATCTTGATTCCCTTCCTAATCAACGTTATCCTTGAGCTTAAACCGGATACCCTCCGTGGGGAAATCCTTTTCAACTCCCTTAACCCTCGCTTGATTCCTTACTTCCTAGGTTGTAGCCCTGTTTACCTTTCTTCCCTTCTTAACCAATGTGATCTTCGAGTTTTCAAACCTTAAAACCCTTCACTCTAATCTTTTCCGTTGAACCGAATCTCTTCTTGTAAGCTTTCTTTCCCCTGAGTTACCTTTCTCCTTTGTTACCGTTCCTGCTTTGGACCTTTCATCCGAGCCGAAGCTTTGAAGTTTTCAAGTGTTTCCTTGCTGTGAGTTGTGGGTCGTGTGCTAATGCAAGTGTTAAGTTGACAGCCTGCATCAAGATAGCCCAAGAGCTAGGGAGAAGGACACCCTGCTCGTGTTTTGGAGCTGGCAGTTGCAGCCTTTGTCTGGAAGTGACGGATCAAGTTCAAGCGGATGCCGAGCTCAATTTGTGTAGTGTGAGTACCTTGCTTCCTTTAGTTGCAGAAGTCAGCGGAGAACAGTTGAAGACGCCATCTTGGTTCTTTGATCCCGTGTGATCTAGCTTAGGGTTCTTGTGGTGCCAGTTTTTTGTTGTAGCTTGTTCCTTAGTTGGGATGTTAGTTTTGGGTAGATCGTTGGATAGTTGTAAGCAGGGAGTTAAGCTTGAGATAAAATTAGTTTCCCTTCCCGGTAAATCTTCTATCTATCACCTCATCTTTCTTTCTTGCCTTACCTTTGTGAAATCTCAGCTTATTTCTAAGCCTTGTCATTCGTTTTGTTAACCGATGGTTTTGGTGTTGAAATTCGTTGTGTCCAAGCCTATCATTCTTACCACCTTAATTCGAACCCTTGTTTCCTCTAACTTTGGTTAGTGGCGAACACCTTTATTGCTTAAAACCTCGTTTGCAACCTATCTCTTAAGCTTTGTCACCCATTTCGCAAGCCGACAATTTTGTTGTTGAGCCCCGTTATTTCCCTTGCTTGCCTTGGTTGTCAGCTCATTGGTAGTTGGTTGCTTAGTTGTTGTTTGTTGGTCGTGCTTAGTTGTTTTGTTGTTTGCCTTGTGTGATCTTTCTTGTTTGCTAGTTGTGTTGAGTAGTTAGCTTTGTGGGTTGTCTTACTAGGAGCTAGTTGTTTAGAACGTTAGTGTTGGTTAGAAAGTTGGTTGTTGTGTTTGGCTTTAGTGTTTGTTATGCTCAAAAACTCAATTGGTAATTTCTTTCAACCTTGCAATGCCATGGCTTTTTGACCACTTTGTATCTCTTGAATCTTTAAAGTTTTGACCAAAAGGATGTTCTTGATTCTCTTGTCACATTGTTGTTTCGTTTTGTCGTCTTGCTTCAATTCGTCGTACCCAAGCTTCAGGGACGAAGCTTCTTTTAAGGGGGAGAGGATGTGACACCCCGTAAATCCAAATTCTATTTAAGGATTAATTAGATAATTAATCCTAGCTTAATTGATAATCTATTCCTAAAATCCTGAAAATTCAATAGTCGGAGGACTAGAAATTGACTAGGCAATCCAAGTCAAGGAGTTGTACCCTATGCTTCATGAATTGTTCCCATGTCTCCTTACACTTTTCCACTGTAGTAAGGGTAAAGAAGACTTTTCACCTTATGATTGTATACCAAGCTAACCTAGAGTCATCTTTCATTCTTTTCCCTAACACCCCAAAAAAAAAAGCTCCTCCTTCTCTCTAGAAATTAGCTAGCTTCTTCTTCAAGACAAGTTTGGGAATTCCATGATTCTTCAAGTTGGTCTCCAAGATTCAACCTTTCTTAATCTTGAGCTTATAGGAGGGTAAGATCTTTGGTCCTTCAGTGTTTTTAGTACCTTTTAAGGTGTCTTTTTCTAAAGATTAAATCTTTGTTGTCTTTTGGTGTGTTTGTGAAGTTGAAGTTGAAGGAAAGCCTTAATAGAAGCTTGTAAGGGTGTGATAAGTGAAGTTGTAGGCTACAAGAGGTAACCCATGCTTTACAAAATCTATTTTCTTACCTATATGATGATTTCTTGGCTTCTACTTGTGATTTTTGTGATGAAATGTGAGATTTGATGCATTGTTTTGTGGTAATGCATGTCTAGAGCTTGTTTTTAGGGTTCTTGTATGCAATTGCTTGGCTATTCCTTTGATTCAAGTCATATTGTTATATATTGTGAGATTTTGGGTGTTTTGGACTTGGTGTTGAAAATCCCCGAAGGGATTATTTGTGGTACAGAGGTGTACCCGCGGGCGGAACAGCGGGCAGTGGCCTACCCGCCACCCCACCCGCGGGGTACAATAGGTTTGGGCTTTGGTTCCCGCGGGCGGAACCACGGGTGGGGGTCCACCCGTGGCACCACCCGCGGGTACAATGATATTATGTTTTGGGGATTGGTTCCCCGTGATTCTTTTGACTCGGTAATTGATGTTTTGACTTCCCGATGTTCTTTTGTTGGGCTATTTGAGTATCTTCTTGATGTTTCGTATGTCTAGAACGGTATGTTAGAATCCATGTAGGATTTGGTGTCTTGAATCGTGCTAAGTGTTCAACCTTGTGATTCGTTGAACCAAGTGAGTCTTGTACGTTCTTCGGAACTATGTGTTGTTTACCCGTTTGATAAGCATGCTAGTTTGATGTTGAAATGCTAGCGTGTGTGATTTGTTCTTTCCTATTGTGGATGATAACTTGTGTTGATCATTGTTGATGTCTGATTGTAATCCTTCCTTGATTGAGTATGGTTTCATATTTTCGTTGTGATCCGTTGATTGATTCCTATGATGATGTGTGTGTTGGCGGTACCTGGATTGCACGATTAATGGTATGGGACATTAATCACCAAGGTACAGATGTGGTCCTCGTGGTAGCCATGATGTGATTATGGAGTTGTAATTGGGCTTCAGTCTCATGTGATTTGGGCTTCAGGCTCATGTGATTGGGGGTTGTGTGATTGAAATGAACGGTACCCTCGTGTACTATGAAATCGGTGGTTGATGATTTGGTGGTTGTAGGTGGGAAACGACGGTTCCCAGAGGCATAAGGTTGGACTCAGAAGTACAGGGGTTATCGGAGGTAATGGTTGGAACTGTAATAAGGCCGGGGGTAGGCATAAGGTTGGAACATGGCATATGGTTGGAACTTGTGACATGAAGTGTCACTGTGGAATGATGTGCTAGTGTGTGGATGTCTATCCTTGTCTGTTGAGCATGTCGAGTGGTATTCTACGTTGTGATCAGTAGAATACAACTCTAGTTGTACTTGTTATTGTTGTTGTCTTTGCCTCGATGTTTTCTGCTTTGTGATCAGTAGATTACATCTTGAGCGGTGTTGAGTTGTTCTATTGTTGTTCTTGTCTTGATGTTGTCTTGGGATGTGATTCCTTTGTTCTTTTGAGAGTGAAATAGAGTCTTTGCAGTTGACTTCTCTTTTTGCGGTTTTAAACTGATATATAATGTATTCCGTTTCGAAAATGATATTGTATTATACTATCTATACATATGCTATTGAACGCGTATTGATGGGTTACCAGCAATATTCGCTGACCGGGCATCGTCCCCTTTCTTTATGTGCTTTACAGGTCCTGAGTAGATGGCGAGAGCGTTAGACGTGGATAGTTTAGATCCCCTGAACAGTTTAGTTTGTGTTTTGGCCTGGGTGCCACTGATGTTGAACATATTAGATTGATGGTTTTAGTTTTTCTCTGTGCGTTCACGTTGGAGTGAACGTGGCATAACACTCCTTGGTTTTCTCCGTTTTATGATTAGACTTCCGTTGTGTTTACGTTTTTATGTTATGTTGGTTAGTTTGCCTTGCATATTTATGCTTTAAATTGGCATGAAAACCGGGGGTGTTACATACGTGGTTGCTAGTGCAAGCTATCCATAGTAGGTCTGTGTAGCCTGTCGAAAGCATGCCAGGGTTCTAACTGCACCGTTACCGGGCAAATAACGCTTTTAAGGTAGTGTTATTATAACACGGCACAGATTTCCTTTCAGCCATACACCCGTTGTGTCCGTGCTTCTTAAAAGGTTTCCAACCCGCGCGTTGACGTTGCGAATATTTTCCAACAGAAGACACCTAGTCTATGAAAGTACAATTTTACCCCTAAAATTGATGCTTAAATAACGCTTAAGCACGGAAGGACAAATAGTGGAAAGATTTTGATATTAAAGTGTCAAATTTGGAAAATCACTACAGTTGGAGGTCCTTTGCTGGAATTAACTCATAATAAAACATGTGGCTGAGATCAGACATCTTGAACGTAACTCCTTCACCATTGACTTCTTGAAATCTTGAATCATTTTTGTGATTATTACATGATCTATAAAAATCACATCATCAACATAAAGACATAACAACAAAATATCTCCAGAGTTAGCGTTCATATATAAACCATGATCAGATAGATACTTTTGAAAACCAACTTTTTGAAGGAACACATAAATTCTCTTATTTCATGCTCATGGAGCTTGCTTAAGGCCATATAAAGTCTTTTTGAGTCTACACACTTTGTTTTCATTTTCATGTTGTATAAAGCTAGGTGGCTGCTTATAGACCTCTTCATCAAGTGGGTCGTGGGGAAGGCTGACTTGACATACATCTGGTGAATCTTCCATTGCTTTTAGTGGGTCGTGGGGAAGGATGATTTGACATACATCTGGTGAATCTTCCATTGCTTTTGGACTACTAAAGTAATGGTTAACCTCACTGTGTCCATTGAAGCTACAAAGGAAAAAAATCTCGTCATAGTCATAACTTGTCGTTGTTCAAACCCTTTTTGCCATCAACCTTGCTTTGTACCCTTGAACTTCACTATTTGACTTCATTTATATCTTGATGACCCTTTTCACATCAACGGCCTTGTGACAATGTCGAATATTAGCTCCCATGTTCTGTTTTTTTTTTTTCTCTCAATTGAGACCATCTCCTCATCAATAACTTTCTTCCATTTGGGATTTTGAATAGCCTTTTCAAATTTCACAAATTTAATTTCTTTTAACAAAGCAAAGTGAGCTAGTTCATCACTATCAACATTGATTTCATCATCACGACTTACCTCATAATCTTGTAAGTATATTGACATTTTCCTTTGTCGTTCTGATCTCCTTAGTTGTTCAATAGGTGTTGTAATTGATTTTACAATACGAGGTAATTCTAATCTACTACTATTTTTGTTTGAAATGTAATATCAACCCGTTCTTGGTCAAGAACATAAATAATCCGTATTTGTGGATTTTGATGCACATCTACACTCTTAATTATTATATATATATATATATATAACTCGTGTTATATGTTTTTAACTTTAAAAAAGTGTTTAAAAGTTTATTTACTCTTCCTAGACTTTTGGCCTACTCAGACCAATATAATAACAGAAATTAGATCATCCTGAATCCTTTTTTGGGTTTGTAAAAGGTTTACCATTTTGCCCTAGCTCTCAGTATCTTTAATTTGGAAGCATGTGGTGCTATATAAATACCTGTGTTCTCCATCATTATAACCACCTTGTTCTTAGCTACTCATCACATCCTACTCTTCTAAGCTCTCCCTCCCTCTCCCTTTCTCTGTGAATGTACGAATTCTATATATATCTTAATACAATTTTCTTTTCTTTCTCTGCCATCTCTCAACTAATTACCTAATAAGGAAGCTTCGATCTTAATATTAATTGTTTAAACTGACATTAATATGACATTACTACACAGATCAGAAAAATGTGGAAGCTTAAGATTGGCGAAGGTGGCGGGCCGTACATATACAGTACCAACAACTACGCCGGCAGACAAATATGGGAGTACGACCCTAACGCCGGGACGCCGGAAGAACAAGAAGCCTTTGAAAAAGCTCGCAAAGGGTTCACTAAACAACGGCAGAAAGGTCCCCATACCTGCGGTGATTTGTTCATGAGAATGCAGGTATTTAATTTTCAACTTTAATTTGATTATTAGAAAGAGGTTAGTTAATATATACTCCGTAATTGTATTGATTATTGATTGAATATTGTGTACAGATGATCAAAGAAAGTGAGGTTGATGTGTTGAGCATTCCCCCAGTAAGACTAAGAGAGGAAGAAGAAGTGAACTACGAGGCGATCACAACCGCGGTTAGGAAAGCGGTCCGGTTGAACTGTGCCCTTCAAGCCAAAGATGGACACTGGCCAGCTGAGAATTCTGGCCCTCTGTTTTTCACTCCTCCCTTGGTATCTTTTACTTTTCTATCTAATAATTATCACTTTTTGTTGCCCAAAAATGTTGAATGCCCTGGCTTTCACATCCCCCGAACAAAACATTGAGAGGTTGTAAATCACTATAATTTAGTGACTGAATAGACAAAGCCAAATACCTATGCCCACAAACAATATGCCCATTTTGATGATGGATTATAGTCTACATAGCTATGTGGAACATGAATACAAGGTTTAGTATATTATTTGTGTAGTAAATATACATTATTTGATAGTATACAAAATAATGTATTTTCAGTATTCAAATAATGTACCTTATGTACATAAATATTGTACTTTTTAAACTAGCTTGGTTGGCGTGAGTGGTCGTGCACTCTCATCCCTTAAGAGAGAGTTTGGGAGTTCGCCCTTCTCAAAAAAAAAAAAAAAATTTGGCCAGCACTTTGCTCCTTAATTGGGCCGGGCCAGTGCGAATGAGGATTAATTTGAGTATTGTAAGAGCTTAAAGGTGTCTCCTACAATTAGGGCTTACTCAGGACACCTCATGGTCTGACAAAAAAATAATGTACTTTTTATTTGTGGTCCACATAACTGTGTGGACCATGGTCCATAAAATAATGATCCGGGCATAATCCTTACACTATCCCAAATACTGCTTACATACTGAACCAGTGAGTTAAGCTCGTACGGGCAAATAATTATCATTAATGGGACGGTGGGGTGTGGAGTCTGGAGTGTTTCATTATACAGTATCCCAAGGGCCCCCACACCTCGTCATGATAAAACATTTGGGAGGTTGTAAACTACTATAACTTAGTGGCTTAGCAGACAAGACCAAATAGTGGTGCACACAAAGAATCTATCCAGTCCACTTTGGACATAATTCTCATACTATCGCAGTCAAATTTCGAACCTTGATCTCTTGCTGTAAATACTGTTTACTGAACAAGTATGCTAACCCGTGTGGACTAATAATTATCATTAATGGGACGGTGGGGTGTGGAGTCTGAACTGTTTCATTAAATAATGAAAAACCAAAAAATGAAAACATTTGCAGATGATTGCATTGTACATAAGTGGATCGATCGATATGATTCTGACTTCAGAGCACAAGAAAGAATTGGTTCGATATCTCTACAATCATCAAGTATGTAATTATGTAAAATAAATTTTAGACTCGTATGAACAATATAATTATCTAATTAATTACTAGTGGATCAATATTTTATATTTTGTGATTTTATTTTAGTTAATTTTCTTATGTTGTTGTACGATAGAATGAAGATGGTGGATGGGGACTCTACATTGATGGACATAGTACCATGATTGGGTCAGCACTTAACTATGTGGCCTTGCGTTTGCTTGGAGAAGAAGCTGATGATGCCATTGCTAGGGGTCGCAACTGGATTCTTCAACATGGTGGTGCCACTGCAATTCCTTCTTGGGGAAAGATTTATCTCTCGGTATGTCATACTTACGGTATCTAATTAGGAATATAATTGAATCAAACTTATGTGAGATCGGTGAAATCGCTCGAATCTAGGATAATTATTTGTTACTTATCATAGAAATTTGAAGTGGACAATTCGGTTCGATTTTTTTGAATCATACCGAATAGAATCGAACCGAACTATTTCGGTTCGGTAATATACCGAACAACTAAGCGGTAATGAATTCTTGTATATGGAACGGTTCGGTAAAAATCAAACCGTACCGAAGTAGCGTTTGATTTTATTTTTTTATTTTTTTGAAAAAAAATAAAAATATAATAATAATAATAATAATAATATAAAAAAGAAGTAAATCCAAGTCCTTTGTCGCGTGCTTCGATCCGCCGTTCCACTCTTATATATTCTTACTGGTATATCTCTTAAATATGATTTCTTTATGGCTTGTTTTTTACTTTGCACTTTTGCTGTTTGGCGCAATTGTTTTTTGCCTCACAATTATCTCTAACTTGAGTTATTCTTACAATATTCAATATTTTTCTTAGTTTCATATTTATATAAAATTAATGTGCTTTAACATCATTCTAATTTTGATTTCCAGTGCACTAGCAATATATTTTGCCAAGCAATGACGGATTGAGTCCAAATATTAACTATACAGTATTTGACACTTGTTCTCTAAATTTTCATCTTGTCAGCAAAACATTCTAAGTGAACCAACCGAAGAATCAATTGGGCAAAAAAGCCAACTGATGTTTGGTAATTACTAATTAGTATTTAGTAGTGTGTTCGAACTTTGAATTGCTTTTTTGTTATATAATGTTTAGACTTTGAATTTGGACTATGTGGATATGTATTGTTTGGTAGTGTATGTGTTTAGAAAATTAGGAAATGTTAAAAATTGGGGTTCTTAAACTGAACCGAAATCAAACTTTTTCGAACCGAACCGAAACCGAATCGAACTATAATGTTAAAATCGAATGGTATTTTTTTTTTTTGTTTTTTAAATACTGAAACCGAAAATACTGAACCGAATTCCGAAACCCCCACCCCTAATAGAAATCATATATAATACTGATTACAGAAAATTTAATACCAATTTGAAATAAATAAATATTTACTTATAATAGATTTTGTAATATTTATATTTGAAATTGTGATACTATTTGGGGTAAAATGATTGTTACTAATGATAAATATTGTAATACTTATAACTGGAATTGTGATTACAAAGTGTAATTCAAATGTAAATATTGTACTCCGTAATACTTATATGTGAAATATTACTTATGATAGAAATTGTAATACTTATTGTAGAAAATTTAACATCAATTTGAATTAAAAATCACTGCTGGAAATTATGGAATTTCCGACCACCTAAAAGTGATCATAAATCAAGTTAAAATTAAAAAGTGGTCGGAAATAGCAACAAAGGTTTTTCCGGATACCAAAAG